TTTCTTTCTTTTATGGCCTGTTTGGATGGAGGGTAGAGAGGGAGAGGGAAAAAATGTAATTTTAAGTTTTTTTGTTAGTTGTATTTAGGAGTGTAGAGGAGGGGAATGAGGAAAAATTTGTGTCAAAATGTTACACTCCAAATTGGGGGGTAATGAAGGGGAAAGGAAAGAAGGGGAATTTTTTCTCATTCCTTCCTCTTCCTTCCCTTCCCTTCCCCAAGTGAACTCCCAAACATACCATTAGGAATTCTATTTTTATTAGGAGTAGGCTTTGTGTTCTATTTAAGAAGAAGTATTGTAAACCTCATGGTATTAGATAACTTTTCATCAATAAAAATTCCACTTTATTATATTGTCTTCATGGATTCGAAGATCATTCTTTACGGATTCAAAGAACAACCCTTGATAGATTCCGAGATTTATTTCTTCTGCACTGCGTTAGAAACCTGAATTCACATAGTTGCGTCAATTTTTAGAAAATCCGTATTAAATTTGTGGTGAGAGTGATTTGAAGTTGGATTGCTCTGGTAATACATAACTATTATACCAAAATTCTGAAGTTATAATGGGGATGAGGATTATATTTTTATATTCTAATAGGGAGACTCAAGTTCCCTTGTATTTAGGGTAACATGATTGAACTTCACTCTCTGTATTCCTCTTAGAAATAAGAAGAAAAAGAAAAAAATCACAATTTTTTCTTTAATACTTTTACTCACTTTCCAATTTCTTGGTATTTCTATATATAACAATTTTCTGATTACATTTATTATTGAAAAAACTTTCTCAATCTATGTATCTTTATTGAAAGGGGAAAAAGAGTTGTCAAAGAAATTTAAGGATTCTTGCAATTAGGACAAATAATGTTAAACATAAGCTGGAAAAATTAAAAAGGATGAGAAAGGACAAGAATAAAATTTTGCAAGATGTTTAATTAATCTTTTCTGCAACAAAAAGCAAAAAAAAAACACCAATATAACTCAAATGCTCTTTTTCACAAAAAATAAATAAATAAATAAATAAGATTAGCACAATGCTCTTTTTCCATTAGTTCACTTGGCTCCTTCTTATTACCATATAACTTCCACCACAATTAATTATTCGTTTTACAGAAAATATTACGAACATAAGAACCATTTAAATTTGTTCCCCATACTTAATTACACTCCATAACCAATGAAGAAGCTATACATAGAGATCACTAATCAACAAATTTGGTTAGTTAATTAACTATTTTAACCGACCAAAGAAACTTCCTAGTATATTTCCTCAGGGATGCTCTGAAGCGCTGGCCTCCACCTGCTGCTGCAAAGTTTGTCCTCAAACTCAACTTTCTTGATCTGCTTCTTCTTCAAAACATGCAGCAACTGCTCCAGTGCCGCCACCGTCGGTCGATATTTATTGCTTTGTTCATGTTCCATTGAGGTCAACATCTGCTTCAACTCTTTCTTACTTACGACGAATTTCAACTGAAATCCATTATGGTCATTGTCGTTGGAATTGATCCTTCTGTCCCGAGCCTCTGCTATCGCTTGTATTGCCGCTGTCGCCGTGCTTGGATTCTTGAGATTGGAACATCTCGTCAGTGATCGACGATCTTTCCTGATAACTGAGCTGTTTTCAATCAACATAGCCATCAGGATCCGGAGCTTTTTTATCTTCTTCCTCTCTCTCTCTCTCTCTCTCTCTCTCTCTCTCTCTCTCTCTCTCTCTCTCTTTTTTCTTTTCTTTTCTTGTTTCCTTTCTTTTTTTTTCCCTCCAAATGACTCGTTGATTGATAAACTTGTGCATGAGCCTTGCAGCTTGAGCAGATGGGTAATAAATAGTGTCCTGAACGAACGTGACAGCTAATGGATCAATAATTGTTATCGGGTTATGATATATGATGATGATGGGAAGAATCGTAGTAATAGGAAATGTTTAAATTTGATTTATTTTACTCTATGAAAGGCAAGTATGAATGCGGAGCTTTAAGAGTAGGATGGGTCCCATGTCACATGGTTCTCCATAGATTGCTTGAAAGTAATAGAAAGCATATGCATCTTTGGGGTGGTCTAGGCCTCAAAAGTCTGATCAACCTGTTCTTTACAGTTTATTCAATAATTTAGTTAGATGCAAGTAATCTAATAGATTAATAGTCTACAAGATTAAAATAGAAACAGAAGAACAACTGAAGCAGGTGATACACTATTTACAAGGATCTATTGACAATTATGTGGACTCTCATGCATGTTGGTAAATACTGTGCAGCAGAAAGATTAACTTCAAGAAAGTATCACAAATTTGGAATGCTTTTCAAAAACTAACATTGTTCTTCATGATAATTATTTGAAAGATCAAGCTAAATTTCAAAAAAAAAAATGCATAAGTTTTTGTTATAGTTGTGTAAAATAAAAATATGTTATTAATAAAGTTACAATCGAGAAAGATGCAATTAAAAGAGTCATCAAATGGAGAAAGTATCTATTAGCTGTTAGTGCAGTCAGTATTGTCTAACAGGAATTTTGATACACATCACTATAGTTGTTAGAGTGGTCAATATTGTCTATTGGTTCAGTTGTTATAAGTGTATTTACTGCCCAATTATCATTGATAGAATCGTATGATTGCTAATAGTTGTTTCAAGTAGGACCCTGAGGAAATACCCATCAAATCATGAAAAAATTCTCTAGTTTTTTTTTAAGATAAGAGAAAGAGCAAAAAAAATATTATAAATTAAAAATATTTTTTTTACCAATTGGGGTTTCGTTGTAATTGAATGAGTTGATTTATAAAAGAGTATTTCAATAATTTTACACTTTGAAATAACATTAGGAGGGCTTGGTGAGTAAAATATGAGAGATTTTTTTTTGGGTGGGGTGGGGTGGGGGTGGGGGTGGGGGGTTGGGGGTGCGGTTGTGAGACACCTTATAGTTGAGGAGGTTTTCTCTAATTTTTAAAGTTGAGTGGGCTTATAAATGCCTAAATATTTTTTCCTCTAAGGCATCCACCATAGTTGAGGGGGTTCTTCTAAACTAACCTTAAGATCATATATGCAAAAATATATCTGTCTCAAACTATATTTAAACTTGATGAATTACTTTTCCTCTCAAAATATTATTGATGAATTTGTAATTTTTTATTGTTTATTAATTTGATATAATGCTTTTACTGATTTTTATATACAGAGGTTATTGGTTCACTAGTGTCTCTCTTTAAAATACTAGTTGGATTACACGTGCAATGCACGTGGTAAATTATTTTATTTATTATTTTATTTATTATTTTATTATTGATTCATTTTATTAAGATTTATTTACATTAAACCATGTATCAAACATATGGATAGAATTTAAAAATTAAAAAGGATTAAATAGATTGTTTGCGTCCTTAACAATAAAAAACAATGAATAATTTTATTAAAAAATTTTATTTGATATACACCATTGAGTTTCAATCAACCATCTTATAAGAATGAAATTCAGATGTAGCATAGGTCCACTGAAGCTGACTTATCACTGGCTAATAGCAATGACATATAGAACTATTGACTCATCAAAGCTTCTTTTGAATCATTTGCTACTTGAGTTTTTAGTAAGCTGCATGCATTTTCGGCTTGTCCTGATGCATGGTGACGAGAAGGCTCTGTTAAGCAACCAATTGTTCTCCCTTTTTTACTACCTAAATGAAAGTTTTCAAGTACGAAATTTAGTAATTGCTAATCTGGAAAATATTTTTTGGCAATAGTTAATAAAATGAAGATATTATAAACACAGTTTATCTATATTAGGTCAATGAACAAATGATTTTGTTAATGAAACACAATAAATGAGTGGCATAGAAGCATTTGGTTTGAAAATAGATAAAATTTGTTGGAGTTGTAACTTAAAACTTGGGTTTGTAGAGGAAAAGAGGAAACGTTTAGTCTCACATTAGAAAAGAGATGGGAAGATAGGTTCTTTATAAGCCTTTCCTTTCTCTCCTATGCCTAGAAGAAAATAAATGTTATACTCCACACCACACACGCACGCGCCGGCCGGGCCGGGATCGGGGTCGGGTGGCGCGCGCACACGACCTACGGACACGAATGCAGCTCCGGATTGAAGGGCTCTTGATCTGCTACATTTTGAACTTTTATTTTTTGCTAATTGGAATAATTAAAACGTGTTAATCAAACGAGCTAAGCAATTAAAACATGTTTAATATGATAATAATTAATAAACGGCTAGCTAAATTATTGCTTAACGTTTACAACATAATTAACATTTATAACGTATTAAACGGTAATGTTTATTAGCATTAAGAACGTGTTAAATGGCTAGCTAAATAACGGTTTTCTTTTCTCTATATAAACTGCAAGGTGCGAGGGCAAAAGACACAACGAAATACAACAAGTTCTTCTTCTTCTTCTCTGTTCTTCCTCTTACACTTACTTGCTGTTACGATTTGTTGGTTCCCTGAAAGTCACGAAGGATTCGTAAAACCTTCTTGAAGCTCGTGCCGACGAGAAGGAGGTCGCCTGACCGAGGGTCGTCGTATCTCCGAGATCTATTGCCGCGTACCATGTACGAGAGGGGGCAATTAGTTTCTTGGGACAGTGTTTTGCACGCTTCGATCATCAGGCCGTATTTCTAACTCTATTTATTTTTCATTTGATATATTTCTTATATATGTTAATTATTAAATTGCTTAAACTGATTTTCGTTATTGTCTAAACAGCTTATATTCCTAACAAAAATGTGTACTGTAGCAAGCACGAAAGAGGATTTTTTTTAAATAAAAAAGAAATTGAAACATGATATATTCTATGACATAAACAAATGTAACAAACTTAACAGAAGACTCCCAAAGAACTATGAGCTTTTTTTTAGAACTAAATCCAAAGTCAAAACATTTGGAAAGAAGAACGCATGCAATACTTACGCATCATCAATGAATTTTGCTGGGGGGGGGGGTTCTATCTGCAACAATAGAAATACAAGGGGTCTATCCGCAATTGGGCAATAGTAAAGCGGTGCAGATAACCCATACTTAATTTAAGGACATAAATAAAGCTTACCATCTTTGAGAAGCCTCCCCACAATTTGTCTGGCATTTTGTTTCGTTGTAGCGTCCACGATAATCACAGGGGTTGCAAGTACCGAAGGCTTTATAACCAGGCCAATACCGTCCAACATTTTGTCCATTTACCCATATTTGACCTTTTCCCATACTGTTCATATCCAAAGCCAATGGCTCGTTTCCATCTGGCGCGTTGAAGAGAGACTGTTGAAAGAATAGAACATGGTCAGAACTTCATGCTCATCATTAGTTATTCATGTACCGGTCAAAAAATATTGAAAATGCATAATTTTTAGGCTGCAGGGAGCATTTGAACCCAAATTCTACCTGTCAAAGTTCGAAATGCAATCATAGTTGCTTAAACTGAATATTTATGCCATTGATTTATATTTTAAACTAGGATATTTAGAATGTCACAAAATAAAAAAAACCAAATGTTTTGAGAGTTAGGCTTCAAATTTGAACAGATGCAATGATCAGATTCAGGGCTTCGAAACATCCAAATATGGTTTATTCACAAACATGATGTAACATTTAAAACATGTCGAATATGTCAATTATATAATCTAGAATTTAAAGTGTTTCAAGTTGATTTGGCAGAGTCGATAAAGAAATTTGACACTACATCCTGAAGCATTCATGTATAATATAATTAGATAAAGTAAGTTGGTCACATTTGATGAAGATGCAAAAAGGTCGCAGGGCAAGTTTTCAATAAATAAAGCAGAGAGGAATTAACTGGAGTTCGATATTATTTTCTGCTTATATATGCTCTTTTTATCTCAACGTAAATTGAAAATTTTTCACTTAATCATCGATCAATAACAATATCTGAAAGTAAATGGTCCTAACCTTGTACCATGTGATAGGTTGGTCTTGAGATGCTTGACCCCACTCAACGCTCGAACTTCCGGTAAGAGAATGAAGTTTCAATTCTTCCCCTTTCAAACCAATCTGCAAACAAACATAAAAATCACTGAACCTGCAATCTTTATTTTCATTCACAGTACTAATTTGAAGACAGCTAACTTGATAGCTCCATTTTTGCCATGTAAGGTCTCTTCGTCCCTCATTAAGACCATTCAGTGTAACTGGACCAAGCACTCCAGCATTACATGTCTCAAAATGCTCCCCGACATTCTTCAATTAAATCAAAAGTTTAATTTGTTTATGGTTGTTATCAGCTTTTCTACAGGAAAAAGTAGGTAAAGCAAACTTACAGGAAGACCAACGGAAACACTTAACAGAGAAATCTTATTGCTGGCTGAACGTACCTTAACATCTTCAGTATAAGTGAGTTTTGTATTTTCAAGACTACCACATGTTGTCCCTGCAGAACAGGAGGAAGAAAAATCCAGGTCATCCAATAAATGGTTTGTCAGAACTAATATCCAAAAGAAAAACCGTAAGTTTCAGCCTAGCAAATCACATGACAAAATTTTAGGTGATGTTGACAAAAAATGTTTTGTTCAATTAGAAAAAGCCTGGAGCATAAAATGTGACAGTTTGTATTTACCTCACTCTGAAAACTTTGCTTCGGTTAGAATGAATTTCTCGTTACTCAGAATTTCAACTATTTGTTTGTTAATATATGACTTCCACAAGTAATGCTCTGAAACAAACTAATGCATTGAAATTCTGTCATGAGCATTTCTGTCAATCAGAGAGTCAACGTTCACCATAAAGGAAAGACAAAATAAAAGATTTTAGGCTGAAAGAGCTAAGCTAATCAACCTTTACTTCAGATTTCTTCACCTTATTTATCATGAACCGATCATACTTTGTCAATTGGAAGAAGCTCCCATTCTTTGATGAAAGCTCTCTCAAGGCATCATTCCTACAAATGGCCATCATAAAATTCGCCGGATCCACCTTAAACAGCTTCCTCAAATGCCTAAGCACAATCATGGGGAAAAAACTTGTTATTCTGCACAATAAATCAAAGGCAGTATGGACCTGGCTTGGTAGAAACTATAGTTAAATCCTAGGACAAAATGAAATCTGTAATATTTTAAGGCATAAACATTTGCAAGAATACTTCAGTAATAAGTATATTGGTAAATTATTCTATTTGATCACATACCATGGTTTGTATATTTTGCAGAATTGAGTAATTAGATCATGCTACTTGATTCTTAATTACAGATTCATAATTTTGTTCTGAGAAAATAATCATCACTTTGGTGTATATCAGTCACATATAACCATCTTTGTATATTTTTGATGTAACTGTTCTAAGCTTCCTATTGATTAGTCACGCACATCTAGAAACATTTTGAGATTCATGAGTAATGTTCTAATATATGCATTGCTAACGACATGCACTTGCAACATTTGGAGTTAAGTACTATCCTTCAAGAAAATTTATATCAATTTTAATATAATCAATTTGAATACATACCTTAAGAGCATGTGAACATTAATACCCCATAAGAAAAACATGTTAAAATGTTTTTAATGATAATCCAGAAATAAGGAAGTGTAGCTCAATGGAGACATTGTGAGGCAATCTGGGCAATCAAAAAATGTTCATTAATTTTACCTTCGAAATACCTCAGCGTACAGTAGTACAACATTTTCAAATAAACCGACAGCCCACATGCAAAATTTATGGAAAAAATATCCTTAAACATTTACAAAACAAAATGCTAATGAGAGCATATCTCCAACTCCTTTTGTTTGGTTTGCACTTGATCTTGTGGGACTACGCCTTTATATTCAACTCATCAAAAGGAAAGCTAGTAAAAAAAGTAAGATAAATTACAAGGGCAGTTTGCAGGTTTATCACCTTAATGGAATGAAACACGCTATCTGCATCTGATAATATCACATCAAAACCTTGATTCTGCATCAGGAAAGTGAATAAATGTTGAGCTTTAGATAAGGAATGGAACAAGTTACAGATGAAAGAAGATTGTATGTAATTTTTGCAATACTCAAGAAGAGAATGAAGTCATATGTTATTCAACTCTACCTTGATATGAACCAAGCTTTTGACGATGTAATAGAAATGTAATAATGATTCTGTCGTTTTTACACCATCTTGAAGTTTCGAACAGTTCTCTACATGGGTGCTTTAAGGTCAGCATCAAATATTTTAAATGTTCCCCCTTTCATAAGCTTATAAACTTACCTGAATGTTTTTGACATCAATCTGACATTTCAGAATGATATTTACTCAAAGTGCCTAAAACAACTCCTTTGATGCAAATGACAATGACCCGAGTATCTCCGCAATAATTGGGCAAGTTTTTGGGCTAAAATCAGCAACTTTTTCAAGGCCAAGCATCAGCAAAAGAGGACTCATAGAACAAAAAATTTATCATGCACTCATTCCAATATAAACATCATGCATGCATGCAACCACATAGTGTGCTTTTGTTTCGTGACAACTTCAAAGACTTTCAACGGTTCAATCTAAAGGAAGAACACTAACTTTAGAAAGACTTTCAATTTTGTGGTTAATTCAACTTCTAAGCTTTTAATGTATAGTTATCATGGAAATTCCTGTAAATGTATAAAAAGCTTTTAATGTCCCGGTTCTCTGAAAGGATCTTAACAAAACACCCATGATACGATGAAAATTTTCAGATAAGCAAAATTCAAAGTAATCCTTGAATGCAAAGTTCAAAGCCTAACAAGAAAAACAGCCAACAGTAGTTAGTACAACTGAAATGCAACATCTCCACAAAGGGCAAGCTAATTAGTACAGTTCAATTAAAACATATAAACTTACCTATTTTTCAATGAAATAAATAATTTATAAGAAATGTGATGCAATGGTCTTGTAATGCTGTACAGGTTATCGATCATTTTGTGAAACAGAACAAACTTACCTCACTTCTAGTAGAGTTGTCCATCATAACAGATGGTCTTATAGTAGGTGTTTAAATAAGAAGAAGTCGTAATATCATCCAATAATCTTCATTGATTATCCTTTTAAGAATAATGATAACCTGTCAATGTCATAAAACAGAAAAAATAAATTTAATAAATAATTTTTGTTGCTGCTTTACAAAGGAATTAATTTCACGGTCCTTTTGGACCTAAAGCATGTACATTAAAGCATTAGTTATTATACACCAAAAAGAACAAAGATAATAGCAATAAGAGACAACCTTTTTTAAGGAAAACTTGCATGTAGTTTAATAAACTACATAATTACACATTTAATAAAATAGTTAAGTGCAAAACAAAGTGGTCATAAAGAGCACACCTAATCAAAGTATTAGAAACTCAATACTCAGTCACCAATCAAAAATATCATCAAAATCATGGTTTTGTATGTTGTCAGTAATCGTATGGAGAACCACATCAATAACCTCACACTTGTATGTTTAAAACCAAGTACCTGTCCTAATGCATCCCGCCTCTTCAATGAATAATTAACCGTCGTATTATTAAAATAAAAAAAATATCAAATGCAATAAGAAAACTATTGTGTGTCCCCATTCAATCAAAACATGCTTATATATATATCACAAACACACACATCAGCTCCAATAACTTAACATAAGCCTACAGATGTTAACTATAAGTAATACAGATAGGTATGCTTATAATACAAACATTCCAAAGTAAATGAAAACGTCATTGAAATCACTATAAATAATTAGCTCACAACATAGAGATTCAAAGCATAGAGCTAAGGAAGAACATAAACCTTGGCGGTCTACTGACTGCAGACTGTCTGGCCGACGAAGTAATCAGCTGCAGCTGCAAATCCAAATGCTTTTCAAGCGTCGGGCACCTTGACAGAAACTTAATTTCAATAAGAAAATTAAGGAAAATGGTTAAACACAGGCCATTGCGTGAGAGGGGTAAATGAAACAGGATCAACAAATCTTGTATATATATTATATACTAATAAATAAGTACCAAGTACTATCAAAAATAAGAATCAAGCTATTATATTGCTTTATTTGTTAGATCAACATCAAATCCCATTCAAAATAGTGTCGTTTATAGTGATCACATGTAAAGATGGGCAAGGTAGTAACTAAAATAGAAGATGATTCCAAGGCTGATGACTTAACATAGAAGCAGCTCACAAAATGAACCAGCAAATAGACAAATAGGTATCTAGACTAAACATTGTGAATAAATAGACTAAACATGAAGTCTTTGAATGGTAAACTGGGAAATTGTAAGGTTGCAGGTTCAATAACTTGTGAGACAATACATTAAAGCATTAGTAAAGTGTGCAACCAAGATGAACATCAGCACCACTGGCATCTTACTCCAATATCACAACCTCGATCTGATTTCTTGTTCTGCCATCTGCGAAGAACCATCGTAACCCACTGAACTGGTAACTTCCTCATTGCTTCTAGCTGCCTCCAGCGCTCTTTTTCAGCAGTACCCTGTGGGCAACTATTAGAAACTTCTCTGACTGTTTTTAGGTGATGGATTTTCTAGCCAAAATGCAATAAAGGCATTAACATAATCCAAAACTGTTTAGAATAATCCCAAACTTGTTATACAAACTCTTTAATATGCTCATTCCAAATTTGTAGGGCTATACACATGGCTGTATATTCAACTCCATTCCAACATTTGTAGGAATATTGCAGTGTCCAGAAAGTCCATTAAAGTTGACAAATCCCCAAATAAGGTCTCTATTTCCAAATCGCGCAGAACAGGAGCTCAAATTGAGAAAATAAATCTGCCCTTCAAGGAAAGATGAACATGGGAATACTGTCCTGCCTGGCAAAGAACACATGTGACACCTTGTACTAATCCTTCACCATTCAAGATATGTTCACATTCAGTCTTCTTCTAGCAGTAATGTGTATAAGAACTTGCACTTTGAGTGGAAGTTACCAAATAGAAAACGGAGAAGAGTAAAAAGTCTAAATGAGGAAACCGAGTTACTGCATAACCATCATCATATCACACCTTTGTCCGGCGCTAAAATCACTTATTATATGCAACAATTTACAACATCATTAACCAGAAATTTATAATATCTCTTCTAAAATATAATCTCTAAATCCACATATCCTGATCATTTCCCATAGTTTGTATTAGAACTTAGAAGCAAATTTGTTGGCAGCTGATTGAAAAAGCTGTGAAAATATAGCATATTGTTGACTTTCTGAACACCTTTGTCTAACTAAAGACTTGGCCCGCATTGCTTGACATGATTACTAAATAGAAAGGGCTTTTTATGCCTCAGAATCCCTTTTTAAAAAGATGGATTCAAAGAAACAATTGAGTAATCCTGGAAAAATTTCCCATTGAAGTACTGATGTCTGAAAAGTTAACACCACAATAAATCTTGTTTGGTAAAAAAAATTTCCTTTGCCATGCTTATAATAATGCAAGATCCATGTCTCTTAAACTAATCACCCTCAGTCCGTCTTTTAGGCATACACATATTCTCCTAATTAATTAAGCGTGTATAGTAAGCTCTGTCTTTTAGACATACACACATTCTCCTAATTAATTATGCGTGCATAGTAAGCTATTTCCCTACTCGCATTTCAAAAGAAACCTCTTATCTTATCAATTATATTCAGATTTGAACTGGTATTGTATGAAAAGGGAGCATCTACAATGGCATGGCAGAAAGTAAAGTTAATCAGAACATGTCTGTCTATTCTAGACAATGAAGATTCTATACAAAGAGAGCATATAGAGTGGTCTGTTACAATATTTGAAGTTCCGTAGTACTTGTAACTAAAATGCAGTTGTTCTCAGGAATTATTATGTTGGAAACTGCTGGAATTAAAACCCTAATTTATGCTATTTCGTGACTTCCAATTAACTTATTTGATTCAATCTATTATTCTTTGTTTGCATGTATAAAAAGTTCAACTCAAGCTAGATTAGTTAATAGAAATTGTTCCCTCTCTGAGAAACTCCTAGAATTGGATGGAATTGACAGTCTCTTGAGTGAATTCAATGTCATAGAAAATCTCGAGCTTCACTTACAGCTAACAAGTAAAGATAAAAAATTTATTAAATGTCATCTCTCTTTGCTTTGCCTGTGCACTCTTTGATATTAGATTGATCAAAACAGAATTGATATACCTAATTTAGGAAAGAAATCACAACCAAAATCAAAACCTGAAAAATAAAAGAAATCAACTCAACTCAACTTACTTTCTAATGTCGATACAGCTGTTGTTCGAATTTTTAAATTCTTGTCGCTTGAAACTGTAGGAAATCGAGAATTAGGGAAAAATTTTAAATTCTTGTCGCTTGAAACTGTAGGAAATCGAGAATTAGGGCAAAATTAGAAGGAAATGAGAGGACTGAAGAACTAAAATGAGAGGACTGAAGAACTAAAAGAGGATTGAAGACGAAGAAGAAATACCTTCCTGAATGCCCAAATTCTGAAAACTGTGGAGATGAATGTGGAGGCGTCGCATTGATGATTAGGGCAATAATACTCATCTTTGCAAATTTCGACTGGAAGATCGTGGGACGGCGAGAAGGCTAACCGATGAACTCTTCGGCTTCGGCGGAGAGGAAGGTGTAACGGATGTGGGAAATTTCGACTGGAAGATCGTGGGACGGCGAGAAGGCTAACCGATGGACTCTTCGGCTTCGGCGGAGAGGAAGGTGTAACGGACATGGGAAATTTCCGATGCTGATGAGGAAATTTTTGTAACGCTTATAAGGGAGAAATTGGGTATATTTAAAATGGTTGAAGGTTAATTTGGGAAGGAGAAAGTTTTTCAAGAACTTGCTCTTTTAAAGGGTAGATAGATTAATAGAATACAAAACACTATAAAAACATATAACATGTAAAGATTTATATAATTAAATACTTTTCTATGATATAAATATTCCCTATGATCCAAAATAATAAATAAATCATTTACACAAATCACCCAAAATATTATCTCAAATTCTTCCATCTTTATTCACATTTTTCTTATAATTAGATTGAAAATGTGTTCTTAAATTTACTCTACGAATAAATATTTGGATTCTTAACATATTTTATGGATATTTTAAAACTAGCTATACTTTTCCAATTAAGTATTTTCAGAGGGCATTTCGTAGTTTTAGACTTTTCAGGGGTTGCTTATCCTTTTTAGATCTTTAAGGGTGTTGTTTATAGTTTTCATATTTTTCAGGGATCTATTTGTAGTTTTGGAATTTGATAAGGAGTTGTGTATAGTTTTTTGGAATTTAAAGGAGTTTGTTTATATTTTTTAGATTTTCCATGAATTGTTTGTAATTTCATATTTTAAGAGGGCTATTTGTAGTTTTCGTATTTTTCAAGTATTTTTCTCAATTTTATAGGTTCATCGGAAAATAGGACTGATTCCAAAAGTACACATTAGTTTGAGGGATAATATTTATCAGTGTAAAATAATGAGGTAATACAGTTATGTGTGTTAGCTGCAAAATATCAAAATATTTTGAAGGTTTTCTGCCAGGGGTTTCAAAAATCTAAGTGGCTTACTGCTAAACGACCAAACTTATTAGAGATTTAATGAAATTTAACATTTAGAAAATTAAGAAGGGCCAAATGAAGTTCTTTGACATGTAAGGCTAATAATAAATCACTAATATATCGCTCCTTACATGTAAAGAAATGATTATTATTGCGCATTTAGTAAGAGTTTCAAAAATTTTGAGGGTTTAGTATTTAAATACTCAAAGTTATAGTTATGTTAAATAAAAAGTATGTTATTAATACAGTCACAACCGAGAAAGACGCAATTAATAGTCATCAAACAGAGAAAGTGTTTGTTAGTGTAGTCAGTAGTATTGTTCAACAGAAGTATTGATACACATCACTTTAGTTGTTAGTGCAGTCAATATTGTCCATTGGTCCGGTCATTAGAAGTGTATTTACTATCATTGTATTTACTATCATTGCAATTTTCGTCGATATAATCATATCTAGGGCTGAGCATGGTTCGGTCCAAACCGAAAAAACCGACCGAATCGATCCAAACCGACCCGAAAAAATCGATTTTATGAATAGGACGGTTCGGGTCGGTTTGAAAACTTTTTAACCCGAACCGATCCGAACCGACCGAATATAGTGCATTACTACCCATTCTAATCTCAAACCCTACCCGACCCGTCTCCAAAGAGTCAAAAACTCAAACTCTAAACTCATTTTCTGAATTATTATGTGTTGAAAACAATATCATTATATTAATGTTTAATGCTTCATAATCTCCTACTTTGTTGATACTTTTTTTTTCTTTAACACAGTTTGTTGTTTGATAAGAAGTTTGATGAAGTTAGAACCAAACAAACTGAACCAAACCGCACCGAACTGACTTGCAACAGTTCGGTTCGGTTTTGAATTATAGACGGTTCGGTTCGGTTGTTCAAAATTTGGTAAAAACCGAACCGAACCGACCGTTGCACACCCCTAATCATATCGATTGTGCTACATCAAAATTCATCATAGATCAAATATTTCAACTTTAGTATGGTTTCTGAGGGAGCCCATCTACTTCTTCCGGAAATAGATTATTTGACCTAGCCCAAACTAAGCCCAATCAATCATTTCCTAATCACCTAACCATCCAATGATCATTAGTAGAAGACTAATATCTAGGATATGATTAATTGGCACCCTTAATTCGGGGGTTAGTCTTCCTGATATGATTAATTGGCTTATCTAAGAGCTTGTGGCTTATTGAGTTGATCAATAAGCTAGTAGAGCTGTTTGGTGACAAAAAATAAGAGGAGATTATTTTGGAGATTGTGGCTTTTGCAAGTAGCTTTTGAAAAGCTATCTCAAGTAGCGTTTGAGATTGGGAAGAAGCTGTCAATTATAATTCTCCGTTTTTGCCCCTTTAAATAGGCCAACCGAACCCAAAAAAAAAACCTCTTTCTTTTCCAGCGTGAAAACCCTTCTGCCGTTGATTCTTCTTCTCTATTTCGCTCTTTGATCCGCCTAGGAGAAGAAGGGTTTGGATTCTTGCTCCCTGCTCAAATTCAACTAATTTACTGATTGTGAGTTTCCTTCTCGATCTATTTTTCAATTTTGTTTTGTTCATTAGGTTAGGGTTCTGTTCCTTTGATGTTTGATTGTTGTGGCGATGATGGCATGCGATTTGGATTTGGTTGGTACTTTAATTTTCTTCAAGTTAGGGTTCTACAAGTCTGTTTATGGCTTCTGAGTGTTTTTAAATCTTCTTTTGAAGTTTGGTGTATTTCATCTGTGTACATATTTATTTATTGTTGTTGGATCAAATTTTTTGATCCAAGACATGTACATTTTTTGCAATGAAGTATGATTCCTATGAATTTGCTCCTTCTTTGTTGCATACCCATATTAACTTGTTTTATGCCGAACCTCTGGGAGTGATTTTGTATGTTTATAGATATGACAAATTTCTAATGCAAAAAGATTGGTAAAATCCTTTTCAAGTACACTTGTAGCAATCTGACTGCTTTATGGTAGAATGATTCTTTGAGTTGGACCATGTGATAGTACTGCGGTATGAATGTTCAGTTTGTAGGAATTTCTAGATTACAGGTTTACTTCATAGTTAGACCTGAAAATGCTTAAAATCTGGTGTTAGACCTATTTATGGTTGGAATTTGTCATAAGACTTGGATTATATATTAGGATACGAAAAGTAGATTAGAGGATAAATTGTCCAAACAGGTACACGCATAAGGCATCAACCAGTATATTGTAGTGTGGTCGTAATTTATGCGTTTTCATCATTGTCTACTACTTCAGGATGACGATAGGACATTATGATGGATGCTCTCTGTGCAAGTTTACCATCAAACTTTTTCAAATCCTGAAACTTCATTTCAAATTAAGTATGATGTGAGCCTATATTCTATCAAAGTACCATTATATCAGACATCTAGCATGCCTCGTATGCTCAATTATATAAGCAATGAATAATCTTATATCATCTAATTTCTTAGAAGTGCAACTAGCACATTGAAAATCATGCAATCAATTTATTTGTCTTACATACACCATCGAATTCACATAATTAGTTTCAGCTTTAGTGAATTAGATGATATAACATTATCTAGAAAAAGGAGATCATTCTAGCCTCTACTTTTCGCAATTCTAGAACCAGTACTTAATTCTAGTGGAAATCCTGAACAAATTAGACAGGTATGCATCGTATATTCGTATAACTAGAAGAACAGAATCATCCATTACTATTTGCAAATGAAGTACATTATTCAAGTAGGTTTTGCACGAGTGTTCTCTTGCATGGCAATATGAACATCATCCTAATTTTAAGTCATTTCCTTGATTGATTTTAACCAGCAGATACAGATAATTAGACAGTAAAGTAATAATATTTGTATTATGCTAATATGCTAGCTTTGATTGTCTTATGTCATTGTTCGCTAATACAGAATTCATCTCCACTCATGTGTTTTATATTCATGTGTGTTTTTTCTATATTATAGATGGAATCAAGTAATGATAATGTGGACAATCAGAAAAACAAAGGTACTGATGATGCGGAGGGAAAGACATTTAACTGGACAAATGATTTCATGATTGTATTATTGGAGCTATGTTTGGCATTCGTTGCTAAGAATGGCCGCAATCAACTCTTCAAATGGAGAGACATTGCCAAAGACTTTGAGATGAAGGACAAGTAAACGTTTGAACTATTATTTATTTGTTTAATTAGGTGTGGTAATTTTAGATATTTCAGCCGTTGTTTGTGTTTTATTAAGTGTTGAAGTTGTGTTTAATTTGGTTGCATGAATTCTTAATCTTATGGTTGTATGGACTGTTAAACTTTGTGGTTGTGTTTAATTTGCATTTTACCTTGTTTAGACTTATCTTCATTTTTTTAAACTAATCATTGTTTAGGTGTATTATGGATATGAAGAAAAGGAGGAAGAAAAAGCAGAGAATATTTTGGCTTATAACTGCATGTACAACAAGTGCTATAGCTACATATTACTACAAATACATTTACAAAGAACCATGCATGACTTCACATCAAAGAGGGGAAGATTGGATGAGAGAAATTCTAAATGGACATCCTATTCGATGTGTGAATGCCTTTAGAATGGAATCAAGAGTATTTTTGCTACTATGTGAAGAGTTACAATCCAAATATGGATTAACACCTAGTAGGAACATGACAGTGGTTGAAAAAGTGGGTATATTTGTTTATACTATTGCATTGGGTCTCTCTAATAGAGATGTTTGTGAGCGATTTCAACGTTCTGGTGAGACTATTAGTAGAACCATTACCCAAGTTTTAGAAGCGATTTGTGGTAGAAATAAAGGTTATATGGGTCTTGCACGGGATGTTATACAACCAAAGGATCGAAACTTTCAATTCATACCACCTCAAATCGCCAATGATACAAGATACATGCCTTATTTTAAGGTAAACATTATTGTAATTGATACTTAATTTGTAAATTTTGATACGTACCATTATTATAATGATGAAGTTTAAATTATAGGATTGTATTGGATGCATTGATGGTACTCATGTGGCAGCATGTATTCCCGAGGCTGATCAATTGCGTTATAGAGGGAGAAAAGACATCCCCACTTTCAATGTCATGGCTGTGTGTGACTTTGATATGTGTTTTACATTTTTGTCTGTTGGGTGGGAAGGATCAGCACATGATACACGTGTTTTTCTTCATGCGATTAACACACCAACAATGAATTTTCCTTATCCTCGACAAGGTTTGTTTTTGTTTTTTGATTAAATTTATTTACTTCGATATATTATAGTCATAATATTTTCTTTATTTAATCTCACTTTTCTTAAATTTTAATATAGGTCGATATTATTTGGTTGATAAAGGATATCCGGATAGACTGGGATATTTAGTACCGTATCCCAAAATAAGGTACCATCAATCGCAGTTTCAAAGAGAGGCGCCAACCAATGCTAAAGAAACTTTTAATCGTGCGCATTCATCTCTTCGTAGTTGTATTGAGAGGTCATTTGGAGTCTTGAAGAAAAGATGGAAGATTCTTCACCAAATGCCACAGTATAGTGTGAAGACCCAAATTGATATTGTTATGGCCGCATTTGCATTGCATAATTATATTCGCATTAACTCAGTCGATGATCCGTTGTTTACAGTGTTAGAACAACAACCAAATTATGTACCCGAAGATGAAACTCAAGATGAACTCGAGGATCCTGATGAGAATAGTAATTCTTCAAGAGGGACAACTTCTGAAATGAGGGAAGTTCGTGATAACATTGCTCGCTTATTATGGGAGTCAATGTGATAATTGCCTACAGTATTAGATGTCGTATTTACTGTTTTCTTTCAATTGACCTCTCAATATTTGTGTATTTTTCATAATGTTTTCCCTTATTATGTGATGATGGTTATTGTTTTTATCACGTGCATTGCATGTGCAATCTAACTAGTAAATAAATAAATAAATGAGTGTTGAGTAATTCTAATTTTATATCAATAATATTGCATGTCCTTTTTAGTCATTTATAAATTTAAGCTAGTTATACAGCTACTTTTGCCAAACAGCTCTACTTTAATCAGCTAGCTACACAGCTATAAGCTTTCAGCTATAATTTCACAGCTTTCAGCTAGCTTAACAGCTTTCAGCTATAATCTCGTAGCTTTCAGCTAGTTTTGCCAAACAGAGCCTAAAGGGGGAGCGTGTGGGCTCCATCTCCTTATTTTCTGCTGTTCATTAATACAAATTGCAGAACATTAATATATAAAAAAAAAGGCTTCGTTGCATATTAGACTCTAAATTCATTAGTCCTTCACATCTGTAGTTTATTGCAATTTCGTGCCTTCGTTAGCTTTTATGTTGTTTTCTAACCACGATTGGATTAACCCTTACCCAACTATTTGTAATTACCTAAATATTCCCTCTAGTATATGTTTCGGCAACCCAATTTAAATAGGATTTGGAAAGAATATTATCATGGAAAGAGCTCTGAAATGGATTTGGGGGTCTTCTTGACCGCCGTTGAGAAAGAAGAACTTTTTGGGTTCGGGTTTAAAATAAGCAGGTTGTGAATTAAAACTCCATAAAAAACTGGTTGATGAGTTTTAAATAAAGGTATAATGGGTAAACCCTCCCATCCCGTTAAAGTTTTTTTTTTTTGAGAAAAAGAATGGAATACCACAAAGGTATTCCAGCCAGCTAAATTAAGATAATTGGTTGTTACAAAAAAAGAATATACTCTCAACCATAGAGCATGAACTGCTGTTTAAACCAAAAGCTTACAAAGCCAATCCACACCCCCATAACCAAAGCATCATACATAATCTCCCAAAAAGAGAACAAAAGAAAAACCGACATAGCAAACAAGTATGCTGAATACAACCCCATGTTATACACAACAGCAGAAAGCATAAAACTTATCTTTCCATCCACCAAACCGCAACAAACAATCTGTGAAAGCTTCATTCCAACTGGATCACCTAGAGCCCAGCCATCCCACCAACAGCTGCGCCATCACTAGTAAGTCTCCCAGCAGTTTTTTTCTCCTCCTTTCCTGTAACCTAGCAACTCGAGCAGAAATCTCTTTAGAACCTAACCAGAAGGTTGAATAAGTCACAATTTTATTCAGGAGGAGAAGAGAACCTTTCTGTTTATTAGAAAACAATCTATCATCGCGTTCCTGCTACACACACCAGATCAGGGAGCAAATGAAGGGGGGAAAAAATCAGAGAATTCTTTTTTGGGACTCAGGAGAAGAGATCGATTTTCTGTGTGTTTAGAGGAGAAGAACTCCTCTCAATTTATAGGCATTCTCTCAACGCCTCCGTCCCCAAAAATCTGCCCCAGTATCTCTCTAAACCAATTTCTCCGTAAGACCCGTTCTCTAACGGAAGAAATCCCAGAACGTGGGATATTCCCAACAACCGGGTTGGATTCTTAACGGATCGGGTTACAGATTTGGCCCATGAGGCCAAAACCACTTACATCACCCACTTGACCGAAATGGCCAAATTCTTTTCAAGCACACACTCCCACTATCCGTGAGATGTGACTCAAGATGTAATTTCATACTCCCACTATCCGTGAGATATATGCATATTTTCACTCTACGTGAATAAGCCGAGTACAACCATTATCCATGATCGTCTCCTTTCATTTTTCATGAAAGCTTCTTTGACTTAGACATTTCTAAGTCCCATCAAACCAACATGTTTGATGAATGTACCTGCTGGGATACCCTTCGTCAAGGGATCAGCAATCATGTCACTAGTAGGAATATAAGTAACACTGACTTCTTCTTTTTCCACAATATCACGAATATAATGATATTGTATCTCAATATGTTTTCCTTTAGAACTGTTTGCACCACTGTTGATCAAGCTGATGGCTGCTTGATTATCACAGTATATCTCAATTGGTCCATCCACCAAATTGAGATCCAAGTCCTTTAGGAACCGTCTTATCCAGACTGCATGAGTAGTGGCCATACTACAGGCTATATACTCAGCTTCTTGTGTGTATCTTGCCACACATCCCTGTTTCTTACTACCCCAAGAAACAGCTGCACCACCAAAAATGAACAAATGTCCGGAAGAGGACTTCCCGTCATCTTTGTCTCCTCCGAAATCAGCATCGGAGTAACCAAGAACCTCAAGCGAATCTGCTTGATAAACTAACTTATGGTGCACAGTACCTTTCAGGTACTTCAAAATCCTCTTAACAGCCTCCCAATGTGCTGGACCAGGATTACTTTGATATCTACTAACCAAACTCACCGCATATGCTAGGTCTGGTCTAGTACACAACATTGCATACATCAAGCTTCCAACAGCTTGTGCATACGGGACACTAAGCGGTTTCTGCCCTTCTCCAGGACATTGTTCTTTACACAACCGCTTTCCCATAACCAAAGGTGTTGGCGCAGGATTACAATTCTGCATCCCAAACCTTCTAAGTATCGTATGCAAATACCTTTCTTGATTTAGACTTAACATTCTAGACTTTCTATCCCTAAGGATCTGTATACCAAGAACATAGGATGCATCTCCCATGTCCTTCATCTCAAATTCACTACTAAGTGCTGACTTGATTCTGTTCAGCACTTCTATGTCATTTCCAGCCAGCAAAATATCATCCACATACAAGGATAATATTGTAAAACTGCTGCCACTCTTCAAGACATATACACAGTTATCCAATTTATTTGCAACAAAACCAAGTTGGATAACAGTATTGTGAAATTTGAGATACCATTGTCTAGATGACTGTTTTAAACCATATAAAGATTTCTTTAATTTATATACTTTGTTTTCTTGTCCTTCAACCTGAAATCCATCAGGTTGATTCATATATATTACTTCCTTCAACTCTCCGTTGAGGAATGCAGTCTTGACATCCATTTGGAAAAGTTCCAAGTCAAGATGTGCAACAATTGCTAAGATAATTCTTATAGAAGCAAACTTAGCCACCGGAGAGTAAGTCTCCTGATAATCTATACCTGCCTTCTGAGTAAAACCTTTAGCAACTAATCGGGCTTTAAATGTATCAATAGACCCATCAACCCGATATTTCTTCTTTAACACCCATTTACATCCTATGGACTTCCTATCTTCTGGTAAGTCACATAGCTCCCATACATTGTTTCTCTCTATTGAGTCAAGCTCCCTTTTCATGGCTTCCAGCCATTGTTCTGATTCATGTGTGTTCATAGCATCCACATAATTCAAGGGATCAGCTTGCTCATCTATGTCAATATCTACCGAGAAACATGATGGTTCTGGCTTCCAGCCATTGTTCTGATTCATGTGTGTTCATAGCATCCACATAATTCAAGGGATCAGCTTGCTCATCTATGTCAATGTCTACCGAGAAACAGGATGGTTCGCATGAATACAGATAATAATCATCCATCCATGCAGGTGTTGTTCTGGGTCTTTTATTACCACTAAGGTTGACAGGTTGGACAGGTTCTGCTGGTTGATTTACCATAGGCATATTCTCATTTAAGGGCTCATCTTCCGTTATTGGATGATTTACTTCATCCACTATGTCCAGGTCATCGTTGGGAACATCATCTAAGTCTAACAGAGGTTGTATTGCCTCTTGAACTTGTTCCTTTTCCTCTAGATTTTCTAGAAAAGTAGCATCTCTACTTTCAATGACCCCTTTCTCTTCATGGAAGAACCTATATCCTTTAGACTTTTCAGAATAGCCTATAAATCTACACTTTAAGGTTTTGAGATCCAGCTTATCTCTAACTTGATATGGAATGAGAACATGTGCAACACAACCCCATTTTCTTAAGTGACTTAATTCAGGTTTGTGTCCATTCCAAATCTCATACGGTGTTGACTCGACTGATTTTGTGGGAATCCTATTCAAAATATAATTCGCAGTCAATACTGCTTCTCCCCAAAAATCCTTGAAGAGACCAGAATATGACAGCATATATCTCACTGCATTCATCAATGTTCTATTTTTTCTTTCAGCCACACCATTCTGTTGTGGCGTGTAAGGCATAGTGGTATGTCTCTTAATACCATAATGAGTGCAATATATAGTTTTTAAATTCCTTTGAGTTGAATTCTCCACCTCTATCAGTTCTTAACACCTTAATATATCTTCCAAGTTTCCTTTCTACTTCTGTCTTGTATCTTTTAAAACATTCAAATGCTTCTGATTTTCTGTTTAAAAGATACACAAAAGTATACTTGGAATAATCATCTATGAAAGTTATAAAATATTCTTTATTACCACGTGTCTTTACGCTTAACGGACCACAAATGTCAGAATGAACTAACACTAAAAGTTTACTTGCCCTCTGATTTCAGAAAATGACTTTCTAGTCATTTTCCCTGTTAAGCAGTGTTCACAGGGTAATGTCCTTACACCTGTCAGATTTGGTAACAAATTCATTTTAATTATCTGATCTATCTTTCTATTACCAGGGTGTCCTAGTCTCATATGCCATAGATCAAAATCAGATAAAAGACACGAGGAATAAAGCAAATCAGAATTCTTATTGCAAATTTTAGGTTTTACAACAGAAAGACAGAACAAATCATGTTCGGGTACAAACTTGCCCATAGCAAACACTTTCTTGTCTTTCCCAATAGAGACCCTATTGTTGTAAAACCTAACTTCAAGGCCTTTCTTCAGGAGAGCTGGGACGGAGATCAGATTACGTCTTATGCCAGGCGCATAAAACACTTCCTTGAGAACCATGATGCTGTCCCCAAGATCCAATCTGTATGAACCAATACCTTCAACATCTAGGTAGGTATTGTTCCCCATGTAAATCCTTTGATCTCCCTTCTTCAGCTCCTTGAAGTCGCATATCCCTTCCTTCGTCTTTGCAATATGTCGGGTAGCTCCCGAATCAATCCACCAGCCACCAGCGTCAGTAGTTGCAGCATTGCACTCAATGACGCCGATGAACTCCCGCTTACCGGATCCTCCTTGTTCCGGGCGTT